GTTGCTGCGTCAAACCCAACTGAGTCAGGCTTTGGTCGTGGTGTATTATTAGGGCATCTCTTTGCCCCATAGGGTTGAAAGCGGCAGAGTGACCCTCTAATGTAAAACACATGCAGTGTTGCTAACCGACGGGGGTACAGGAATAAAGACAAAACTGGCTTTCACAGGGAGGTGACGTTCTGAGCTGTGGCAGCACGTCCTGTATGGAATCGGTCAGCAGGGATCACCTCATCTCCCGGGTACAGGACCTTCAGCGGCAGGTTGGGGCGGCCCGGAAGCTTCTCGGAAACAGTCAACTAGGTGAGACTTGCTCCCTGCTTTGGTCCTCCAGCCCCTCCCTTTGTATTTATTCTGGGATCACTTTGGACTTGAGGATCTGCAGTGATGACTGAACAATTACATGTCATTATCCCTGTGCCAGCCACAAGATGGCTGCGCAAGCCAGTGGGACAGAGCCCGAACCGCCTGAGTTTGTGCTGTGTCCTTGAAAAGGGCCAGATGATTTAAGCTGTTGTTCTCTTGGGCAGCAGAGACCTAAGTTCAAGTACCCCATGATGACTAAAGGGTTATCTCTGACATCCGTGATCTTTGTGCAGTTCCAGAAGTTCGGTGCCATTTATTTTAATTCCAGGGCCTAATGGCCTAATTTCCTAGAGAGATTGCTCTGCTCTCCTCAGAGCCTCCTCTCTTCTAGGGAGCTGTGGAGCTTGCACCCAGATAGAAGCATCCTGCTGTTTTCAGAGAGGCTTGTGGAACTCCACATTATCCTTGCAAACTCTGCCTTAGAACTTTACATCCTAGAAATTTATTTACCCGACTTTGTGAAAGTTGACCTTAAACTTAGATATCTAAGTCGAGAGATATGATGATCGTAAGTGGAATCTTGCCACTTGAAGTTGGAAACCCAGGGTCCGTGTGGGGAGGCCTCACCTCACACCTATTCTGCTGAAAGAGAAACTGTGAGAGAACAACAGCTTTTTGGGAACAAACACTGTGGGTCTGTCACAACAAGGGGACAAAGTGGGGTTTCCGCATTTGGCCCAGCCAGTATGGAACTTAAGAGCTGGGTTCTCATTTCTAGGACTGGGTCTATGTAGTAACGAGGCCACCTTCCTTTGCTTTGATAGAGCAAGCCATTCAGCTGTTGTTGGGGTGCCGACACGATGCCGAGAGCTTCCTGTCACCAGAACACAGCATGGTAGGCGAAATGGAGGATGCCCTGGCCCAGGCCTACGCTGCCTTAGGTATGGCACGTGTCTGTCTTCATTTTCTGCTGCAAAGACCATGTGTGCCTCATGTGTTTGGTCCTGAGCCCAGTCTCATCTGGTTGGTCACCCCTCAGTCTTTGAGCTGAAGCTGTCCTCCCCTTCCACTGAGCTTTCCTCACCCTGAAAATGTGCATCCACAGTTGACTGTGGTTCTCTTCTGGAACCAGATTTCTCTTTTCTCTGCAGGGGACTGGCAGAAGTCAGCTGCCCATCTGCAGAAGAGTCTCCAAGTGGTTGAGGCTCAGCATGGGCCATCCAGTGTTGAAATGGGCCACGAGCTCTTCAAACTGGCCCAGCTCTTTTTCAATGGGTAAGTCTTTCTGTGGTTTCCTAATGCCCTCTGGGCCACACACTCATTAGGCTCTTCAGTGTTCCTTTTCTCCTGTGGTGCTGTTAAGCAAGTGGAAACTTCTCTATCTCCCCTTTAGGAAAACTCCTTTCCTTCAGTTTTGCTGATAAACTGGAAGCTCTAGAATTTCCTCCTGAGAGATACAGGGAAAGCTCTTAGCACTGAAGGGACATTCCTAAGGAGCAGTTGCCATATGGCCCCACCACCTGCATCCCGACGGCTCTCCTCAGCTTTCTGCTTCCTCAAGCCTCCCTCACGCCCTCGTTCTCAGCACTTTCAACTCCAGGGGCCTTTCCTTCCCCCATCCTGTTCCTCTTAAAGCAGTTGTTTTCAACCAGGAGTAATTTTGCCCCCAGGGGACATTTGGCAATGTCTGGAGACATTTTGGGTTGTCATATCAAGGGCGGAGGCCAGAGATGCTGTTAAACATCCTGCAATGCACAGGACAGCCCCCCACAGCTAACAGTTATCCGGCCCAAAATATCAGTAGTGTCAAGGCAGAGAAACCCTGCTTTGAAGGTTTAAAGGAAAGAACAGTCTATGCAGATGTCATCCATTTTTGCCACTGAGATCATGGGGAGGCCCTATTTCTAGATGCAGCACTTCCTTCCAGCCTTGATAAAGCTGCCATTGGTGCACTTGAGGGTGAGGCAATGTTTGAAGCTCGATTCTAAGATCATAAATGATCTGTGGGCCTGACACCTGAGACGCAGAGGTCTCCCATTGGGTCAAGAGAACAGGGCTGCAGTCAGGTCTGGGGTGGGCTTGGTTACCTGAAGGTGAAGACTCCTGAGTAAACCCTGGGATGAATCCCTGATGGAACCCTTTGAGATTTGCCTGTTTCTCAGGACCTTCGAATCTTCATGCTTTCAAATCTCATCACTTTGTTTTCAAACTCTACCTTGCAGTGTGCTTATGAAAGTCTCTCCCCTACCCTTCTAGATTATGAGATCCTTGAAGACAAACTGATCTTCGACGACTTCACAGGGTGGGGGTAGGCCCTTGATTAATGTTTGCTTGACTGAATGAGTGGATTCACTCCTTTTACCTCCTTCGGTTCAGGTTTGCGATCCCAGAAGCACTGAACACAATTGAGAGGGCCGAAAAGGTTCTGCTGGTGCACTATGGCCCTTGCAGTGACGAGATCCAGGAGCTACAGAAGATGAAATCTTGCTTATTGGACTCGCCACCCATCTAACTGGGGTCTTCAGTGTAGGATCCCAAGGTTTTCTTCACATAGTTAACTACCCTCCCGTAAAAACTCCCAGTTTCCAGAAAAGATGTAAAACTAGTGTCTGGAGAGCCTAAGCCCTTTAAAGGGATTTTAGCTGATCTGCAGCCATCTGGATGTTAGCCTGGGCTTTTGGCGAGACTCCACCTCACTAAATGATGATCGTCTGTTTCCCTGGAACATTCCTGTGGTTTCTAGTAGTAATGAAATGTTACGTACCACTCCAGTGGGCACTTATGCTCTTAGTAGTTGTGTTGTAATTGCAAAATAATTATTAAGCAAGAAATCACTGAGGCTCCTTACTTCCAGAGACACCATTTTGTGTGTGGTAGCTAGCTTTCTCGAATCCTTTGTTAAAACTAGTACGGTGTAAATTGTGAGTAGAGAAAGAAGTATGGGGCCACTTTATTGTTAGGCAGTCTCTTCCTGGGATGGCAACTCTAAATTTGTCTCCTACCAGTTTTCCAGTCTTTATTATCTGCCTCTCCTTCTGTACCCTTGGCCGACCTCCTGACCAAACACTAATACAATCAAGCTTATGATAATGACATGGGGGCCTCCTTTCTCCTGAAAAGAGACTCCCTTCTGCCGGACCTCCTCAGGCTGGGAAGGGAAATCCAGCTGCAGGAGTCCTGAGCCACTTGGGGGTGTCTTCAGAAGGTGCCCCAGAGCACTGGCATTGCTGCTTATGGTTTCAGACTCGAGCAACAGAAGGGAGAGGTGATAGCTCTTTTCTGCCTGGATGTGTAGAGCAGTAGTCTAGACTTCCGTCCCGGCCAGAAGGCTGGGAGACACACTGTTTTGAACCCAGGTTGCTGTGTCACGGTCTGGGACCAAGTGGGTCCAGTGAGTTAGTGGAAAGGAACATCAGGTCCACGGTGCTTTGAGAGCTTGACAACCCCCCCCAGTCTGCCCAGGAAGTCCCCGCTGCTAGCCTCAGCCTTACAGTCAGGAAATGAATAGCCTCAAGATGTCTGGCAGGGGCTTTTCAGGAAACTTGAGTGTTTAGAACACAGCTTACATTCAAACATGTGAATGAAGGTCAGGCAGAAGCTCATTTAATTCTTCTTTCTACTCATTCCCTGTGGCAAGGTGCAGTGGCCAGTGAGATTTTTTTTTTTCGTGGAGATAAATTTTTCTTCTTGAAAATTTAGTCCTGAGGACAGTTCTATATTCTGTCCCAAACACTTGTCGTGTTTCGTGTTCCTAAAAAAAGGTCGTGTTGTAGTCTGTAAAATAGGCATGCTCCCCTAAAATGAATGTGTTTAGAATTTTCAGATGTCACATTCCCATTTTAGGTGTACTTGGGAGCTTTCCTTAAATGCTTTATGAAACATTTCCTTAAGTTACAACTTACCTCTCCTATCTGCCCATGTGTTAGCTTGTGTTGTCAGGTGACATTAGCTTGACTAGGGGGATAGCTGTGTTTGCATGAAAAGCTAAAGTTTTGGGGCGCCTGGGTGACTAGCCGGTTGAGCGTCTGCCTTCGGCTCAGGTCACGATCCCGGGGTTAGGATCGAGCCCGGCGTCTGGCTTCCTGCTTGCCGGGGAGCCTGCTTCACCCTCTCCCTCTGCCTGCCGCTCCCTCTGCTTGTGCTCTTTCTGTCAAATGAATAAGTGAAAGCTTAAAATAAATAAGTAAAAATAAAAGCTAAAGTTCTGGGGGGCATTTGGGGTGGTGCAGTCGGTTTAACAGCCGACTCTTGGTTTCGGCTTAGGACGTGGTCTCTGGGTCGTGAGATCAGGCCCCGAGTCAGGCTTCACGCTCAGCCTGACGTCTGCTTGAGATTCTGTCTCTCCCTCTGCCCCTCCTACTCGTGCTCTGTCTCTCTCTAAAATAAAATAAATAAATCATAAAAAAAAAATACCCTAAGGTTTGATTTATTTAAGAGCATACCCCACTGATTGTGGGGGCAGGAGATGCCCCCTCGGAGATTAGTGGCCCTACTGCATAAACACTTCCACAGCAGAGACTCTGGCCCTGCATTATACCGTGACGATAACTACAAGCTCTTTGAAGTGGTGACTTTCTGCAGAGTTTAGAGAGAGACCCAGGCTATAAGTATAGGACCAGCAAATCTCGAAAGGGCTATTTATCTTCATATTAAACTTAACAGAGCTCAAAACAGGAGGAGGAACAGGACAACAAAGGTTAAGGATAAAGCACTTTATTGCAAAGTATACACTGAAACAACATGGGGGCAGGCTTCCTGTCATATGTAATCTGCCATCCCTTGAGGGTTTTGTTCCTCCAGGGTATTTGAATGTGAAACTGCACCGTTAAATGCCCCTGGGGTCCAGAATTTTGCCTATGAAGAGAAGGGCCCCCGTGTCTGTGTCTCTCAGTACAAAGATGAAAGGTTGGTTAAGGTGATAGTCCAGGGGAAAGGTGAGGTGGGCAGGCTGGAGTCCTGGGCTGGGTGCGGTGCCTGCCCCATCCTCGTTCCACTCGAAGCCAGATCGATGTTCCACTTGGGTAAGTTTAATAGGTTTGCCTGTGATCTTGCTAAAGTCGGGCGAATCAAACAAGGATTGCAGTTCTGCAGAAATTGAGAGAGTTCCATTAAAACGCAGCCTTCACCCAGCACCCTGCACAAGAGTAGAGTCCTGGTTCTTAAATCCTGATTCTCAAGGAGGCAGGCAAGCTGGGAGTAGAACCCCACTTTGGACCTTCAGTGAGGTCTATAGACCTCTAGGCTGGGTAGGGTTCAAGTGACTTGCCCAAGAGCACTCAAAAACCAGCTCAACAGACGTGTCTTTTGAGAGGCAGTGTTCTGTTGCGAGATGTAGGCTTCTGGGACTAAGGAATGCGTCTGATAAGGGCAGTTCATGCCTCCCCTCCAGTGCTAGTAGAATTAAGGAATCGTCCATGGCCTCCCCACAAAGCCACAGAGCCCTTGAGTGCTGCTTAGCAAGGCGGAAAGCTCAAAAAGCTCAACCCCACCCACCCCAAGAGCAGAGTGGCCTGGCGGACATACTCATCTCCTGCAGGGACTTAGTGACTTCGCCTTCGTAACTCAGCTTCAGCTTGGGGATGGTCAGGACTGCCTGAATAGTCTTCAGTTCTCGGTCTATGTCATGAATGAACTCAGAGGTGAGGCTCTCTTCTATCATGGTCAAGTTCTGGGTTACTTTCAGAGGCAGGAAGAAGATGATACTCATGCTGCCAGTCAGGGGCAGCTGGGCAATCTGAAACCGCAGGGAGGGAGCACATGGGTTAGTTCCTTGGAGCCCAAGAGCCCAGGCCTAGACACACACACTCCAAGCTGCCTTCTCCTCTCCTGCTGTGGGGTTCCCTGGCCGTGATTTCCCCAGCCCCTAATCTCTTTAACGACTGTCCCTCTTGGCCATTGCCTTCCGGCTACAAGATGTTTACTGAAGTTCCTTCAAAAAAACGTAGGCTGTTGTCTTTTCTTACCTCAGCCTAATACCGACTGAAGTTATGCACTGAAAGAATTTTCTCCCAAAGATTGTCTGCCAGTAGTTACTGATCAGCTGTTATTTACAGAGCCCTGGACTAGAACTGGGGATGCTGAGCACAGGAACACAGAAGCAGTAATAAAATGGGTCTTTGGGGGCACCTGGATGGCTCAGTCGTTTAAACGTCTGCCTTTGGCTCAGGTCACAATCCCAGGGTCCTGGGATTGAGTCCCGTGTCGGGCTCCCTGCTCAGCAGAGCGCCTGCTTCTCCTTTTCCCACTCCCCCTGCTCATAGTCTCTCTCTCTCTCTCTCTCTCTCTATCAACAATAAATAAAATCTTAAAAAAAAAACATAAAATGGGGGGACGCCTGGGTGGCTCAGTTTGTTGGACGACTGCTTTCGGCTCAGGTCATGATCCCGGAGTCCCGGGATCGAGTCCCACATCGGGCTCCCAGCTCCACGGGGAGTCTGCTTCTCTCTCTGACCTTCTCCTCGCTCACACTCTCTCTCACTGCCTCTCTCCCAAATAAATAAATAAAATCTTAAAAAAAATAAAATAAAATGGGTCTTTGGAGCAGAGGTTCTTAACCTTAGGTCCGTGGGACAGACAACATCAGGAGTCTTAGCCCCTGAACCCACATACAGAAATGCATGTGTGCACACATGACATTTCTCTCAAGTGTTTTAGGCGTTTTGTCAGATTCCCAAAGAAAAAGATTTAAGAACTACCAACTTAGAATTAAAAGATGTCAGGTTTGTGGAAAAACTTAGAATGCCAGCCATTTAGGGTGTGTGACCATTTTTTTTTTAATTTGGCTTTGAATTCTAGAAATAAAAGTTCCTCCCAAAGAAAGAAAAAAAGGAGAGGCAGAGAAAGAAGGGGGAAAAGACAAGAAAACACCAGCATGTGATTTGCCCAGTCTTGGCCCATTTCACATTATCTGTTAATCCTTACAGCAAACCCTAGGAGGATGAGTTTCGAGACCCATCCTTCATTTTAAGAAGAAAGGCTCAGAAAAGCTATTGACTTGCTGAAAGCTACACAGCAGGCAGAATTTAGACAGCTGTCCCATCTCAAAAGTCAGCCTGTTTCACTATATGCCATCCTGCCTGTCTCTGTCCTCCCCTCTGCCCACCACTCATCCAGCCCCTACACACCTTGCAGTTGAGATCAGAGTCCAAGCCATAGCGTAAGATGGCCTTAGGGTCTGACATCATGGGGACTCTCACAGTCCTCTCCTCATCCAAGTGGAAATCCTGAAGGGAAGTCTTTCTGGAGTCAAACTTTGTTACCCACTGCCCTGAAATGAAACAAATGGGAGTGCCCTGAGCCCCAGGAGACCAGACAGGCATTGGGACTGGGGCTGGGAGACCAAAACCTATGGTTGAAAGGCGCCTGCCTAAAGGAATCTTAGAGGCCCCGACACATCAGGGAACAGCTCTGTCTGAGAACGTGTGGGCCGGACTACGATATGTCAAGGATCTGAATAGCTTCCATATAGAGACTCGGGAGGAATTACTGATTTGACCCTATGGACCATACAAGTTCTGTGATGGCCTGGGAGAAAAGTCAGCTGGTATCTCCTCTCGCAGTGAGGTGTCTGGAGGACAGGATCAGAGGAGATCAGGCTGCAAGGGACTCCGACATCACCCCTCTGGAAAATCACTGAAGCCCAGAGGGGCAGAGGCACTGGCAGGTGTTCAAACAGTGAGGCGGTAACCAAGCTCCCTACGGTTCAAGTTGACTTTTAATATGCTGGCCTATAATGGCTTCTCTCACTTTCTGGAGATCAGTGCTTCAAGTAGGGCCTCTCTCAAGGTCAGGGTCCCACTAGCTACTGCCTGATAGACAGAAGTTACAGAAAAGCATTTCAAGGAGAGGTTGCCCCAAATCCCACCCACGTCTTCTCTGATTGGGGCCAGCCTCACACGGCCTGTGGAGGAGTCTCAGGCACATCACTACGGCAGCATGCTATGAGAGAACTAACGGTTTGTTGAATACTTGTGCCCTGGGCACAGGGCTTCGGCTGGTGTGAAGACACGAGGCAATGTAGACAGCCTCTGAAGTAAGTGCGTCATCCTGTGTCAGAGGTGAGGCCTGTGCAGGGCTTAATGCCGGGGAAGGCCCAGCTGGGCTTTGACCCTCATCTGACTCCAGCACGAATCTCACAGTGCCCACCCCCAAACAGGCCCCCGAGGGCTAGCACTTTCTTCTCCCTTCTAGGCTTTGTGCACGGTCTCTTAACACTTTGTAGACACACACCGCAGGTTTGCCTGGGCCCAGAAGACAAGAACAGAGCCTTCAGGCAGGTGCTTTCCCCAGGTCATCCTCTGGCTTCGCCTCTCGGTTCCTGCTGAGCTCCGTCTCTGACGTCCCCCCTTCCCCAGCCCCTCTGACACCTCCCCTCCACCCTTGGCCAAAAGAGAAGTGGAGCCCTCACCCTTGAAGTGAGCCACACCGAGGAGGAGAATGCTGACTCCACTGGGTATTTCCTGGGTGGACCTAGCGATTTTCCCTTTCATCTGGGCCTGCACCCAGTTGTTAACCTCCTGAAGGTCCAAGCGAGGGTTGCCGGTCAGGATTCTGGGCCTGGTGCCATAGGACTTCTCCAGCGGTGTGACAAAGCTGGATTTTATCCGCAGCTCTGGGAAGAGATGGAGTAGGGTTAAGTGTGCTCTGAGCTCCCAACCAGCATCTGCTCTGGGAGAGCGCGCCAGGCTGAGGTTCTGGTTTACCACTCAGCAGGCCCTGACTTCCTGCCTAGTGACTTCCCGTGACTTGCCCAGACTCCCAGCCAGCTTCCCCAGGCGCTGGGCAGAGAACAACAAATTTCAGTCATTGCTGTTTCTCTTCAGGTTACCACACTCCCTGGGCCCTCCCACCATCTCTCTCAGTCTGCTTCCTCTTTCCGATCCCTTTTGAGCTCACGGGGCCTCTTCCTGCCCACCAGCACCAGGCCCAGCCTGGGCAGATGGTGATCTAGTGTTTAGAAAGAAATGCCCTGGGTGCCTGGGTGGCTCAGTTGATTAAGCAACTGCCTTTGGCTCAGGTCATGATCCTGGAGTCCCGGGATAGAGTTCTGCATCAGGCTCCCTGCTCAGCGGGAAGTCTGCTTCTTCCTCTGACCCTTCCCTCTCTCATCCTCTCTCTCTCAAATAAATAAATAAAATCTTAAAAAAAAAAAAAAAAAAAAAGAAGAAGAAGAAAAGAAAGAAACCGCCCACCACCAGAGGAGCATAGAGCCCCAAATTCCTCCAGCATCCCGGGCTAGCAAGGTGACCCACTCCTTTCAAAGATGATCCGGGAAGCACTCTTGAAGTTCTTCTCGGGGGCAGTGATGGCAGCAAGGAGCTCCTTATAGGTGCCATGGATGTCCGGGTTGCTGATCAGGTCGTAGTAGAGGGCCCGGTGGATGGTGGATTCTGTCCGCTGTTCCGCTCCTGCCAGAGACCGGGGTGGGAGCCTTAATACCTGGCCACCAGGGCCCAGGTCAGGCCAGCTCCTGGGGTGGGACACCACGCTCTTGGTCTTCCACTGTTCATACTGGTGGCATTCTTGCTGGGCAAGAAATTTGAAGGCAGTGGAAGAAAAGATTTTCCTCCAGCAGGTGAAGGCCATCAGGCCTAGAGAGAGCAACAAGGGCTGGAGGGAGGGTTCAAGCCCCCGAGCTTCTCTGGCCACAGCCCTTACCAGAAAGTTTGGTGGTCACCTGCTCATGACTCTCCCCCCCCCCCCCCCCCCCCACAGCCGGGAACTCAGCTGTGAGCGAGTAAAGGCAAGGACCACCCCCACTTGTAGGCGGTTGTATCCCCAGGACCTAGCCAAATGGCTGGCACGCAGAAGCTTGTGTTAAGGATGGAGTGTCAAAGTCATCCCGTCATCAGTAAGTGTTCGTGAGGCCATGTCTCCAAGTCAGCAGTGCTCTGCACCCTCTGCAGAGCTGGGGTGGGGGGTTGTAGGTACACGCAAAGGGACCCCAGTGGGCCGCTCTCTCACCACCTCTCTGCAGGGGCCACAGGCCGATCCAGGCACCCGAGGCTGTCCCCATCTGAGAACTCACCCAGCGAGAGTGCGGAGAGAGCGGTAGCCACACTGAGTGGGGATAGCAGCACGTTGGCAGCTGGGCTGAGGCTGGACCTCACGCGGTACAGGTCATACCCAAAGTTGGAGATGGCCGCTGCTAGCTTATTCACAGGGACCTTGAAGAAGGGGTCCTCCTCTTCCACGGGCACCCCTGTGGTGTCGGGGTCTGGGGAGTCCTGGATTTGAGTACAAGGGCCATCAGAGATGAGCTGTGTGTGATGGGAACCCTCGTTGCTTTGAGTGGGATTGTCCTTCTGGCCCCTTAGAGACGTCCTGGCTGAGTACCCTACATGTAGCCTGATGTTAGAAGGAGAGTGTGATCCTGGATCCTGCCGGAGTTCTTGGCTGGGGACAGGCAGTCCCACATAGAAATTAGCTGACCAGGGGCGCCTGGGTGGCTCAGTGGGTTGGGCCGCTGCCTTCGGCTCGGGTCATGATCTCAGAGTCCTGGGATCGAGCCCCGCATCGGGCTCTCTGCTCGGCGGGGAGCCTGCTTCCTCCTCTCTCTCTGCCTGCCTCTCTGCCTGCTTGTGATCTCTCTGTCAAATAAATAAATAAAATCTTTAAAAAAAAAAAAGAAAGAAAGAAATTAGCTGACCAGGTTTAAATACTAGTGACCTGTGAGCCTCAGGCCTGGGACATACTTAAAAAGAGGGAGGGGGGATGCTTGGATGGCTCAGTTGGTTAACTGTCTGTCCTCGGCTCAGGTCATGATCTCGGGTCCTGGGATCAAATCCTGCAGCAGGCTCTCTGCTCATCCGGGAGTCTGCTTCTCCCTCTGCCTGCTGGTCCCCCTGCTTGTGCACTCTCTCCCTCTCTCTCTGACAAATAAATAAGATCCTTTTAAAAAGAGAGAGAGAAAGAGAAGAGTGCCCTCCCTTCCAAGGAACCTTGCTCTCAGGCCAGAGCAAGCTGCCTGTCTTCCCCCTTGTTAACTGCTTCCAACTCTCTATCTGGACCCTCCTGTGATTCCCCCCACCCCAATCCCATCTTTCATGGCCCCTGATCGCGCAGCATCTCCTCCACAACTTTTCCCTAATCACCCCAAGCTGAAGGCCCGTTTTGGTTTCCTGAACTTTTTAGGGGATCAGCTCCCACTTACATATTAACCACCTACCATGTGACAGACTGTGCTGGTTCTTTTCACTGGAGTCACTTCATTTCCTGCTTGTTGATCTATTTGATACCTCAAAAGACTGAGTTCCTTGAAGGCAAGATCTGAGTCCTTTATATTTCCGCCCCGCCCCAGCCCCTACAGAGCAGGTATTCAGTAGGTAAAAAGTAAGTGACGGCCACAATGGCCCTGCAAGGGTAGTTTTGGTTTCTCTTTAAAGATTATTTATTTGTGGGATGCCTGGGTGACTCAGTGGGTTAAATCCTCTGCTTTTGGCCCAGGACATGATCCCAGGGTCCTGGGATCCAGCCCCACATCAGGCTCTGTGCTCAGCAGGGAGCCTGCTTCCTCCTCTCTCTCTGCCTGCCTGTCTGCCTACTTGGGATCTCTGTCTGTCAAATAAATAAATAAAATCTTTTTTTTTTTTTTTAAGAGTATTTATTTGAGAGAAAGAAGGCGAGCACACGTGCGCACTCGAACAGGGGAAGAGCCAGAGGGAGAACAGGGAGCCCGATGCGGAGACTTGATCCCAGGACCCCAAGACCTAAGCCAAAGGTAGAGACTTAACCTACTGAGCCACACAGCTGCCCCTGGATAGGTATTTTTAATCCCATTTTACAGGTAAGAAAGAGACTCGAGGGGCACCTGGGTGGCTCAGTTGTTGAGCATCTGCGCTCAGCTCTCGTCATGGTCTCAGAGTCCTGGGATGGAGCCCCACATTGGGCTCCCTGCTCAGCAGGAAACCTGCTTCTCCCTCTCCCACTCCCCCTGCTTGTGTTCCCTCTTTTACTGTGTCTCTTCTGAAATATAAACAAATAAAATCTTTAAAAAAAGAAAGAAATTTAAAAAGAAGAAAGGAAAGGAAGGAAGGAAGGGAGGGAGGGAGGGGGAAAGGAAGAAAGAAACTGACTCAGTTCAAAGTGACTTGTCTGCAGTAACAAAGCTAAGAAGTGAGAGGTAGAGCCAGAACTCTCAACCACGTCCAGGACTCCAGCCAGTAGCCCGGGCTACCCTGGGCCCTCACTGTCCCTTAGCCTGAGATTCTCAGCATCTGTCTCCGCAGTCTGACCGTGCTTCCTCCAGACAGAAAAGGTACCTTTCTGCACGCTTACATCTCCACTGCACTCTGGTCGCTATCGGAACAAAAATCCAGGACCACCATCCTGTCAGTGAGACCCACGAGTGCCCCAAGGTAGTGAGAAAAGGTCTTCACTGAAAGGGATACCCCCGGGCTTGCACTGAAAGGGATACCCCCGAGCTTGCTAGACTGCCTTCACTTTTCACCTTCTGGGATCTTACTTTTGTCTCCACTGTGTTCTCTGAAAGGCAAGGCGAGATGTTTTCTGTCTGTTTTGCTGAAGGAGAAATCCAGGCCTTATCTACACAGGAAGGCCAGAGTCTGGCCTGGAACCCGGTGTCTGTCCCATCCCCCTTGCTGCCTGCTAAGGAGGGGTGGGGATTGCCCACACCCCGCCTCACACCAACCCCACTGACCTGGGGGCTGCCCGCGCTGTCCTGGCAGCTGCTGTGCGCGAGGAGGGCTCCAGTCCAGAGGAGAAGCACGAGGGCCTGCATCCTGGGGCCTGCAAGAAAACAAGAGGTAGGAGGCTATCCCCCTCACCCACCGCCTGCTCCGCCAGCCACCCTGAGTGGGGCGCAGGAGCTTCCCAGGACGAGGCACCTTACCTCTGACCTCCCCAGGCTGGAAGCGGACCTTCAACTTGACGGTCCCTCCCTCTGAGTGCCTTGCCACCCCTCCACCTGCCTCATGGCCTACAGCCCCAGGATGAGTCTGTGCTTTTGTCCCCCTGTGTGTGTGAGGAGATCTGGGGGCCTCAAGCCCCAGGGTCATGGACTCCAGGGCCGTGGAGACCCAGCAGTGGGCTCCTCTGTGTGGCTGTGGCCTAGCAGAAATGCACAGCACAGCTCTTCTCTGGAGACATAGGACCAGCTCATGATACAGAATTTGGGGTAATGTCAGAATGGGACAGAATCTAGTTCCCATAGGTAGAATTACAGAACACAGAGAAGGGAGGCATCTGTTCCAGCTCCTCGCCATCCTCAGGAAGTTCTCAGACCCTGTCCTTGAATTACTCTGGTCTAGAACCTGTGGCCTCATAAGGGACTCATTCCCTTCAGAGATAGTTTTCTATGTAGAGTTCTTACTCTCCTGCTAAGGAACACTGGGTCTAGGGGCCAAGAGCCTGGGTTCAAATCTCAATTCTGTGTCTTAATAGCTCTCTTGAGAACTCACAGCATCTTCTCTTGCAAAATGGAAATCAGATAGTTCTTGATATGAGCAATAAATCAGATCACATCTCCAAAGAAATGAACAGCACAAAGGCAGGTGAGCTCTGCAGTGATCCTAGAGCTAAAAATGTGTCTCCCTATACCTGGAGCCCCAGGGCCCCCCTTCTCTCCTAGGGAGCCAGATCCTCTGCCCCCTAGTAGCTCAAAAATAGCTCTTAAACCCTCGGAGCTTTCTTTCCTTCAGGTTAAACAACCCCAGGACCCTTCACATCCCCAGCAGTGGCCTCTTCCAACCAGCTCCCTCTAGCCCCTGAACCACAAGGGAAAAGGGAAATCTGGGCCCAGGGTTCAGGTCTCCATGTCTGCCACCATCCCTCAGCCTCCTGCACTTGCCATGTCCATGAACTCACCCCTTGGAGTTAGGATGTGGGGTGGGAGGGGATGAAAGCAGCTGGGAGGTCCCGCAGATAGGATCTTCCAAGGGGCCTTCTGTTTAAAAAGTGGGACAAGATCTCAGTAACTAGGACCTTCGGTTGGTCCCTGTCTCGCCCCCACCACCACCCATATTGCCAGGTCACCAATTTATAACATCTGTGTTCCCTGACCCTCACCTCCCCTACGCACACGCACGCACACACAGGCCAAGGCTCTCTGGCACATTCACGGTCATCATTTCTATGCCCATCAATACCCTCCCACGCGCGCAGCACACATACTTTCCTGACTTCTCAGAGCAAATAGGAAAGTTGGGAGTGGGATGTGTGATTTTTGGCGGAAGTCCTTAGAATCAAGCCAGATAATCCACTGGACAACACTGGAGAGATGAAAGGCAACGAAAGAAGGGACCACCTTTCAGAGTTTGCTCAGTCTGTGGCTGGACTGCAAGTGGGAAGCAGCCCAGCTTTCTTCCCAAACCCTGATCTGGAGCTTGTGTCCCAGAGTGAGCCCCACAGACCCCAAGTCCTCACCCAGCTGCTCTCCTGCCCAGCTGCCCCTGGCGCTCAGAGAGAACCTCCCCTTGAGCCAGCAGGACAAGATTTCTTTGATACAAGCTAGAGACCCGGAACACCAGACAGTCTCACAGCTGCTCTCTCCGCCCTCCCAGCTGCACCCCAGAGCTAGGAGGAGTCTTCTTGCCTGAGCCCCAGCAGACTGGGGTATCAGAGACCACAAAATTCCCTGAGATTTCTAGGCGGCAAGGGTATAGGAAATGCTATTACTGCTAGCATCTCTGGCCCCGGTAGGGAGCTGAGACAGGAGGGACACGGGGCTCAGCCTGGCATAGTGTTTAAGAAAACCAAGTTCATGGGGCACCTGGGTGGCTCAGTGGGTTAAAGCCTCTGCCTTCAGCTCAGGTCGTGATCCCAGGGTCCTGAGATTAAGCCCTTCATCGGGCTCTCTGCTCAGCAGGGAGCCCGCTTCCCTTCCTCTCTCTCACTCTGCCTACCTCTCTGCCTACTTGTGATCTCTGTCTGTCAAACAAATAAATAAAATCTTTAAAAAAAAAAAAAATGAAAACCAAGTTCACAGTTCAAATGCGCTTAAAGGTCAAACCTTCTCTGTAGGAGTTCCCACAGAGTCAGTGCGAGCCCTGGGTTGTGGGATCATGGTCCCCATGTTGGGGGACTGAGGACTGAAGATAAGGTGAGGGACCCTGGCCATGAAAAGCACATGCGTCCCCAGCTGCCCCACAGCCAGTCGCTGGGACAGGTAGTATTTTCATGGCCTCTAAATCCTCCACCTCCCCACCCTAAGGATGGAGGAAGAGGAGAGATTATGGAGAGCCCCCCAAAAGGGCCCTGGGAGGGCAGAGAGTCAGAATCTACATGGGGTTGGGGGTCCCTCTGAGCCCACTCGATGCCCTGTCCAAGGTGATTGTTCTGTGGCCTGAGGGCAGGCAGCCGCCACCTGGCCAGGGACACAGGGACACTGATGCCATCCGTCCAAAGGGCAGTATCTAAGCCAGACTCCTGTCCCACTAGGAGTGGGAGGGCATGGGGAGGAGGTAGATATTCTCTCCGCTGGGCCAAGGTCAGGCTTTCCTTTCTGCAGCATTTACCAAAATCAGGAGACACTGGGATTTTGTGATCTTGCCTTCCAGCTGGGAGGATAGACTTGAGCCAATACATGTGTTTCAGATTAAATCCAGTTGTGAGACAAACACCATCCCTCCTCCTCCTCCTTCCAGCACCACACAGCCTAAAGCCACATGGCAGTGGACCTCCTGGGCAGTGCAGGGAAGGACACCGCCCTCCCTCCTGGCTTTGGAAGGGCGGGCCCGGGGGTGCCCTCCAGGCCCGCTCCGCCTTTGGCGACCCCGCCAGTCCCCGGGCAGCGTTCCTTGTGGAGTCTTGGAACCTGAGTGAGTGAGGTCAGGGGCACCCGTGAGTTTCTACTCCGCACACCCCAGGAGGACTGGCCCTAGAAGCAGACCTCCCTAGCCCCCTTGGCCTTCCACCCTCAGCCCAGGGGCTGTACTCCTGGTGGACGGGCCTGGGCCAGACGATGATGGGGTTTCTGCGAAGCCTGTGGCTTTTCTTGGGCCCAGACCCTCCCCTTGCTGTGGCTTACCCCCAGGAGCAGAAAGAGTGCGGGCAGCCATCCTCTCCAGCACGGGCCGCAGGCCCCCGAACCCCACACACAGGCTGTACTAAATAGCGGTCATTGTTTGCCAACGGCCAAAGCCCATGGATCTCCCAGCGTTCACTGGCAACTAATTTGGCCAAAGAGAAGGGATGGGTGCTGGATCGAAGGGCCCAGGTGTCCTGCCTTCCAGTCTTCTGCAGGGCTCAGCAGGCTAGTAGTGGCTTGGCTTGGAAATCAGCACCAGCTGAACTTGAAAAAGCAGCAGGGAGCTGAGCCCAAGCCAAGGCTGGACTGGGTGAGGGGAGCAGGCTGCCTCCCGACTGCCCCAGGGAAGCCCAGCTAAGGGGCAACCTCCTTCCCTGGTGCGGGGTGGGGGGGGCGCGGGGGCCACAGAGCCCCTCTGAGGTGCTGCTCAGAACCTAGCCTGCAGCTGTGTCCTCTGCCCCTTCCCACCACAGCCCTCCCCATGGCTACCCACCTACTTCATTCAAAAGTCTTCCCAGCCCCTCCTCCTAGTGGGGCTTGGGGAAAAGTGGGCCCTGGGCCTCTGAGCCCCAACTCCCTCTGCCCTCTCTCATCCTCTCACCCCGGGGCCCAAGCAGCAGGGGCCACTGTCTCCCCACCTCCTCTCCCTTGCACCCCTCTTTGCTGATCCCTGGAGTGCTCCTGCCTCCCCCAGCCCAGGGGACCCTCTCCAGTCTTGCCCTGATGCTCTAACACCGGAGGGGGAGCTGCTTTACCTGTGGGTGTGCCGCAGTTGCCACCAGCCTAGGTCTGTCTGCACACTGAGGGGCTCCAGCAAACACCCAGAGCTTTTGCTGCGCCTCCTAGTCCAGAGCCCAGCAAGCTTCAGATTACAGCTACTCTTTCTTAAAGCGACCTGCACTCAATTCAGATTCTGTGATTGCATCATTGCCTGATGTTAACTTTTACCCACTGCTGCCCTTCCACCCCACACCCCCAACACACACACACACACACACACACACAGGGCAGACCTTCCTCCAGGGCCCTGGCCTGCCTCCTGCCTGAGGTCCCACCCCCAGAGGGCACCCTGGCCCACTTGGGTGGGAGACAGGGCTGAGGAAGAGTCTTCTGGAGGAAGCCTGGAAAGCAGGCCAGACCAGAGCAAACCCCACTCCTGTGCTGGGACTCTAGATTTTCCTGGTCCTTGGCTCTGACACTAACTGGGAGTTGGAGAAGACAATTCTCGTGGCTTTCTTTGGCTGAAAAAGGAAGGGAAGGGATGGAATTGGGATGTCTCTTTGCTTTTTCAGCTCTGGAATTCTGTGATTTCTGAAGATCAGAAAGGGCAGTGGGAAAAACATCTGACCAGAGGAAGAACTGAGCTGTGCTTTAACCATTGGTCCTGAGTGGAGGCTGAGTATGTGCCTGGCACGGCACTGTACAGGTCACCTAGTCAGGACAACACCTTGGCCCCACTCACCTGGGATGCTTAGGACCTTGCATCATGGTTGGGAATCTAAAATACTGACGTGTTGGGGCGCCTGGGTGGCTCAGTGGGTTAAAGCCTCTGCCTTCGGCTCAGGTCGTGATCCCAGGGTCCTGGGATCAAGCCCCACATCGGGCTCTCTGCTCGGTGGGGAGCCTGCTTCCCCCTCTCTCTGCCTCTCTGCCTGCTTGTGATCTCTGTCTGTCAAATAAATAAATAAAATCTTAAAAAAATAATAAAAAAATAAAATAAAATAGTGATGTGGGCAGGGGGCACCAGGGGAGCTGAGTCGGTGAAGTGTCTCCCTTCGGCTCAGGTAACGATCCCGGGGTCGGGAGTCTGCTTCTCTTTCTACCTCTCCTCTCTCCCTGCTCATGTGCGCACGCTCTCACTCTCTCTCAAATAAATACATAAATAAATCTATCTTTTTTTAAAAATGCTGACATGGAAAATAATTAGTTTAACAAAATGCCTTCTAGGCAGATATGAGTGCAGCCCAAAGTCCTGTGGTGGCTTGGAGGAGAGCTCAGAAAAGGGCTGGAGAGCCCTCTGGAATGAATATTTAGCTGAAGGAAGAGAAAATTTAGGGAAACATCACCCCGTGTGAGGCTTCGGGGAGCAGAGCCAGAGCCCCTGGGTAGAACTTCCCAGTGCGCAAGGTTCAGCTTTATGTAAGAAAAAATGTATCAACAGTCAGGGTTCAAGCTTTTGGGGCGCCTGGGTGGCTCAGTGGGTTAAGGCCTCTGCCTTCGGCTCGGGTTGTGATTCCGGGGTCCTGGGATCGAGCCCCACATCAGGCTCTTTGCTTGGCGGGGAGCCTGCTTCCTCCTCTCTCTCTGCCTGCCTCTCTGCCTACTTGTGATCTGCATCTGTCAAATAAATAAATAAAATCTTTTTACTTGGGGTGCCTGGGTGGCTCAGTGGGTTAACCGTCTGCCTTCAGCTCAGGTCATGATTCCAGGGTCCTGGAATCAAGTCCTGTATCCAGCTCCATGCTCAGCAAGGAGTCTGCTTCTCCCTCTCCCTCTGCCTGCCGTTCTGCCTAATGTGCTCTCTCTCTCTGTCAAATAAATAAATAAAATCTTAAAAAAAAATAGAGTACCTCTATGCAAGGCACTAACTAGATATGTGGAGGAGGAGGAAGAGATAGATGAATAAGATTCAGTGTCACACTCCAGAAATTTACTGACCAGTAACAAAGGCTGGTATAAAAACAGATCATTCCACTATAATGTGGACACGTTCTATGCCAGCAGTCTCTACAGCCAATACAGTACAATAGCCGTTAGTCATGTGGCCACAGAGCCCCCAAAATGTGGCCTGTCTGAGCTGCTCTAAGTGTAAAATACACATCAGACTTTGGATATTTAGTATGACAAAAATATTGTAAAGTATCTCAATAATTTTAATGCTGATTATATATACTGGGTTAAATAAAATATTAAACTTAATTTCACCTATTTCTTTTTTAATGTGACTACTAGAAAATCTTCAATCACATATGTAGTTTGCACTGTATTTCTATTGGACAGCATTGTTCTGTAGGGAATTGTGGTAATGTGGTTGGAATATATGAACCTAAGATGAATCTTGAAGGGTGAATAAGAATGGGTTAAGCTGGGGCGTCTGGGTGGCTCAGTGGGTTAAGGCCTCTGCCTTCAGCTAAGGTCATGGTCTCAGAGTCATGGGATCGAGCCCCACATCAGGCTCGCTGCTCCGTGGGGAGCCTGCTTCCTCCTCTCTCTCTCTCTGCCTGCCTCTCTGCCTACTTGGGATCTCTCTGTCAAATAAGTAAATAAAATCTTAAAGAAAAAAGAGAGAGAGAGAGAGAGAGAGAGAGAGAATGAGCTAAGCATAGAGAGGCAGGAAGGGCAGAACTATCCATGTGGACAAGTTAAAATTGGATCCCTATCTCACACCATACACAAAAAGTAGCTCTAGCTACATTAGGGATTAAACATGAACAGCAATTTCTGCTTTTGCAGAAGCTTTCTTTCTTTTTAAAAAATATTTTATATATTTATTTGAGAGACAGAGCACAAGAGCAGGGAGAGGGACATGCAGACGCTCCGCTGAGTAGGGATCCCAACCCAAGGCTAGATTCAAGAATTCTGAGATCATGACCTGAGCCAAAAGCAGACCCCCAACCAACTGAGCCACCCAAAAGATTGATAAATTTGATACTAAAGTTAAAACCTCATTTTCAGGAAGAGATACCATTAAAAAAAAAAAAAGAAAACAAAAGCCTTACACTAGGAGAAAATATCTGTTACACAGGTAACTGACAGAAAAAGATTTTGAATGCTAATATAGTAAAAAACTATAAATTAATACAAAAAATAAAAACTCAGCAGAAACATAGTCCCAGGTAATTCGCAGAAGAATCCTAACAGGCCAATAGACTTCTGAAAAAGATGTTTCATCCTCACCATAATCAGGGGAATGCAAATCAAAACCATAATTTCACGAGCGCATCTCACACTCACCAGATGGGCAAAATTTAAACATCTGACAAGACCAAGTGTTGGTGAGGGTGTGGACAACCAGGATCCCTCCTGCCCTGCTGGTGAGGAAGTGGGAATGTAAACTGACACAACCACTTTGAAGAAGAATCTGGCACCAAAGGGGAAAGCTGTGCGTAACCCTATGTGATGGCCTTTGCCGTTAAAGATGGGTAAACCCAAACCCACAACTCGGCACTTCCACCCCTAAGCATGTGCGCTGGAAGAACTCCACACGGGTGCACAAAGTATGCATGTACGAGAATGTTATGGTGGCACTGTTTGTAATGCAAAAAAAAAGTAAAGTCTCCTTGCAAACCTATTAGTAGCTGAGTAGACAGAGGTGGAGAAGTCTTACAGCCCTGAGAAATCGTGCCGGGAAGCCACTTATATCAACACAGATCTGTCTGCTGAGCAATGGCGTTGTGCGGTTGACTACACCTTTTTGTGTGCTCCAATTATCTCATGGTAGCTTACAGAGAGTCATCCCTCCTCCTCCGATTGCCATCAAGGGTGTCCCGCTCCTGCCGAAGGAGGGGGTTTCCACTGTGCTCTCCATGGGCTCTGCTCCTCCAAGTGGCTGCTTTCCTGCCTAATCCCATATCCCTCTCAAATATCCTCTGTCACTGCCCTCTTTGGGGACACTTTCTCATGCCACATCCCCTAAGGCTACTGCCTGTTTCTCCTGTCTCCTTTCTCACCGCCAGGAGGGAAAGAGCTAGTTATTCTTGTGTTTGTACTGTCTTAGCGCCATTCCCTCCTCAACTGCAATCTTGCCCATCTCCCCATTGGAACCACTGTCTCCAAGTTCGTGGGTGACCTTCATGTTGACCACCAAAAGGACATCTCTTCCCTGGAGAGCAGGCAGTAGAGAGCAGACCGTTCCTCCTTTTTGAAACTCTGCCTCTTCATACACTTCCATTCCCTATACTCCTGCCTCACATGCCGCGTTTTTTGGGTTTTGTTTTGTTTTGTTTTGTTTTTGTCTCCTTTGCTCACTTGATCCTGGGATCCTTTTTCCTTTCCATCTACATCCCCTCTTAGATTATTCCACCAGGGATGCCTGGGTGGCTCAGTGGGTTAAGCGTCTGCCTTCAGCTTAGGTCATGGTCCCAGGTCCAGGGATTGAGTCCCACATTAGGCTCCCTGCTCAGCGGGCAGCCTGCTTCTCCCTCTGCCTGCCACTCCCCCTGCTTGTGCTCTCTCACTCTTTCTCTGACTCAAAAAAATAAAAGTTACTTCCACCAGTTCCATCACTTTAAATGCATCTGTATTCCCAAATATACACTTCCAGCCCCGACCAAGATATCCACCAGCCTATCTGACAAGTCCATATGGATGTCCAGTAGGTAGGACGAACATACAATTTATCATCCAAACACTCCTCAGAGCAAAAGTAGAACTACAGACATGACTTGAACTATCCCATGTTGGTCTACATTAGTGTGGCATTTCAATCATGACATGTTCAAAATAAAAATCTCCAGTCAGTCCTCAGATCTGTCGCTCACCCTGATTCCCATCTCAGTGAAACCCATTTTCTCAAAAAAAAATCCAGGAATCTGAACCATAAACCCCATGAGCCTTAAGCCTTTCCTTTCCCTCATGTCCTGTACAATCGACCCACAAACTCTATAGCACCACCTGCAAAATATTTCTGCATGCTGACCCCTTTCTTCCATTTCCACAGTCGACACCCTGGGCCACACCGCCTGTCTCTTGCCTGCTAACCCACAATTGTCCCTCTACATTCTGTTCTCCACCCAGCAGCCAAGCAAGCCTTCTAGGGCTTAGATCAGACTGTGGTACCCCTCAGTTAAAAGTTTCACACAGTGAGGGGCGCCTGGGTGGCTCAGTGGGTTAAAGCCTCTACCTCTAACTTCCGCTCATGATCCCAAAGTCCTGGGATCGAGCCCCACATCTGTCTCTCTGCTCAGCGGGGAGCCTGCTTCCCCCCCCACCGCCTGCCTCTCTGCCTACTTGTGATCTCTCTCTCTCTCTGTCAAATAAATAAATAAAATCTTAAAAAAAAAAAAGTTTTCCACAGTGAATGGATTATTGCCATCCACAACCCAGATGAAAGTCACAAACATGAGGTTGAAAGAAAGAAGCCAGACCTAAGAGAGCAGACTGTATGATTCCTTTACATGGAGTTCAGAAACAGGAACGATCAATCTGTTGTTAGAAGTCAGGAGAGTGAGGGCGCCTGGACAGCTCAGTCAGTTAAGCATCTTTCTTCAGCTCAAGTCATGATCCCAGGGTCTCAGGATCGAGCCCTGCGTTGGGGGGGGGGGGTCCCTGCTCAGCAGGGAACCTGCTGCTTCCCCTGCTTGTGCTCTCTCTCGCTCACTCTCTCTCAAATAAATAAATAAAATCTTAAAAAAAAAAAAGTCAGGAGAAGGAGTACTAGTTCCTGATGTGGGTGCTGGTTGCACAGGGATATATGATTCATGAGAAAACTCATTAATTCATGTATGGTTCTGACTTATGTGCTTTGCATACTATATTTCAACAGAAGATGTTAACTTGTGTCTTGTCTAGACCCTTCTACCACTAGATTTAGGCTGTGGGGGGCGGGGAGAGGGAGAGGAGGGATCTTGTCTGCTTGCTCACAGCCACATCCCCAGAGCCTAATGCACTGCTGGGCACAGGGGCCCTGATAAGGACTTGCAGGGAGATGCAGAGAAGAGAGCCGGCCAGACCAGCAGCAGGGAGGACCTAGGAGGCAAGGGCAGTGACCCTTGGGCGTGACTAGATCCAGGGCTTACAGCCAGGATGGGGAGGAGAGAGCTGAGAAAGATTTTGCAGGTAAAATTAAGTTGGTGCCTTGCTAAATTCAACTTTCCAATTACTTCTTACTCCATTTTTTAAAAAATATTTTATTTATTTATTTGGCAGAGAGAGATATAGTGAGGGAGGGAACACAAGCGGGGGGGAGTGGGAGAGGGAGAAGCAGGCTCCCCGCTGAGTAGGAAGCCTGATGTGAGGCTAGATCCCAGGGTGGGCTCTAGGCTGAGGGCAGATGCTTAACTGATTGAGCCATCCAGGTGCCTCTACTTCCTACTCCTGATTCAAGTCTTTGCTCCCACACCGCCTCCTCAGGGAAGACTTCCCTGCTTTACTTCTTACCACAGTGCTTCCCACCCTCAGCCTCACCATCGATTTCACTTGTTCTGTGTATTACCTCTCCCCACATGGCTGGGCTGTAGGAAGCAAGAGTCCACCCCAGGCCCTTGCTCTTGACCATTGCCCTTCAGGGTCTTGGGTGGCTGCAGCCACAGGGACACCCCGCACTCACAGATAAGGGCCCACCCACGTGGACACCCATGCCGCCCCCAGCCCGGGGGCCCAGGGCGAGTCCAGCCACCTCCCCCAAATCCTTAGGCACTGACAGCCTCCTGCTGGAGCCGCTATTCCCAGCAGCCTGTCCCCCAGCAGGCGGGCGCCTGCGCCTGGCAAAAGGACTGGCATGTAATTAGAAACTCCACGGACTCCCTAATTGCCAGTTTTCTCCCAAAGCGGGAGGCCAGCGCTATTCTGAGCCACCCCTGTTGCTGGCGGCTTGAGGCCTCTAGAGAGGAGCCGTTGGAGAGCAGAGCCAGGCTGGCGTGGAGGTGGCCATGGAGAGGGCTGGTGAGGTCAGAGGGGACTGTGCTGAGACAGGCTGGCGAGTGGCCGAGAACAGAGAACAGACGTGGCAGAGAGGGCTGCCTGCTGTCCCAGCCCAGGCCCAGCGTGGTGCTCTGTGTAGCCAGTGGCTTCCTCCTGCCTTCCTCAGGGACCCCCCCTGCCCCCACGAGTGCCCAGAATAGTGACCTCAAAGCAGCCAGGGCCATTCATTCTTTATTCGGATGTCATAAAAATCACTACAAAAACTTTACAAAAGAGCCGGAAGGAACTATTGCCCTCCCCTCCCGCCTCAGCCCCTGAGACACCTGGACAGTGGAAGAGGAGAGAGGAGGGAGAATCCTGGCAATGTCGGTATCTCCTAGGAGCAGCAGGAAGTCTGCAGTGACAGGAGCATCAGGGCAGGTGGAGGCTGGAGGGCCAGGGGCACGTTATGGCAGAAGTGCCTATATGGAAGGCTAGGCCCCCACCCACAGAGCGAGACAGGGCTCCACTGCTGGCGGCCTAACTCTCCTCTCCCCAGCCAAGGTATCCAATCCCTCCTGTCCCACCTTCTCTGGTAAACAAATGTGGAAGTGCCCCAGCCAGCTTTGGGAAAGACCTTCCTACCTTCCTGACAAGAGTGGACCTACAGCTGTCCCTTTGCCCAAGCCCCAAACAAGGACAACATTTGAGCCGCTTTGGAAGAAAGGATGTGGGATCCAGACCCCTGATTCCCGGAGCCCTGCCCTCGACCTGGCCCCACCCACCCCAAACTCCCCGAGAGAGGAGAGGAGACCGGAGAAGATGACTCTCTCTCCGCTCCCAGACTGCCCACCCAGGCCCCTGCTGTAATCCCACCAAGCCGTCTGGAAAGAGTCCCAGGAGTGGAGAGGTTGTTTCAGGCAGGGACTCAGGATGCTGGCAGCTGGCCTCTCACTTGGGGCAATTAAGTTGGGGGTAGTCCTCCTCTGAGGGGGGAGCAAGTTTCAAGTCAGGGCCGAATGGCTTGTCTCCGCGGGGGAAGGCTTTCTGATTCTGGAAGTAGTCCCTGTCATCTGGCGAATCCTGCTGCTCCTTACGCTCCCACTCCGCGCTGGGGTTGGGGTTCCTCACACTGCCCACGAAGAGGGGCAGGCTGGTTGTGTCCTCAAGGATGAAGAAGAGAAAGGGGCGGTTCACGCTGAAGGAGGAGAGAGACATGCGTGACATGGCCGTGCCGGTAGCAGCGGCCGCCTCCACGCCAGCCTCGCTGAGCTCCAGCGTGGACCGATGCTGCACGCTGGTTACCACCAGCCTCTGGTCAGAGATCCCACGCAGGTCTGGGGCCTGGAACAGTTCCTGCAGGCCTGCCCAGGACAGGAGGTGACAGGTCAGAGCTGCCTTCTGCCCCACAAGCTGCCCAGACCTGCCTGGGATGGTATCTGGCATTCTGGCCAAGGGACTAGTCCAACCCACAGATCCCTGCTTAACTCTTACCTAACCTCCAAGTGTCAGCTTCAAGGTCACTTCCTCCAGGAAGCCCTTCCCAATCCCCTGCCCCAAAGTGGGTATGGGTGCCTTTTCTCCAGTGAACGGGAGAGAAGCCCTCTGTCTTATCCCTTATGCTGAACTGTAAATACCTGATTCCTTATCTGCCCACCTGCACGTGACTCAGTCTTGTCTGCTGGGGGGACCCAGTGTCTAGCGCAGCGCCCCCTGCAGGACAGCCGACAAGACCCACATGCTACCCAGGCTCTCCAGTCTGCAAAGTTCACTCTTGGATGGAACAGGTTGTCATTCCCTGGGGCACCCCAGCTCAGCCCAGGAAAGAGAGTCCTGGGGGTGGGGGGTCCTAGGAAGCCCTCTGACCTCCCAAAGCCCCAGAAAAGGCCAGGACACCAGTCTGCTCTGACTCGGATCCACAGCCAGCAAGGGGGCTCCCTGCTCACCCGCTCTGCCTAGCCTGACCCAGGGGGCGGTCCCCTGCCCAGCCTCCTTACCCAGCCGGCTGAGGGTGGCCACCAGGTCCAGCTGATAGTTGAGATGCAGCCTGGGCAGCCGGACCTTGGTGGGTTTCTCTCGCAGTAAGGGCTGGTGCAGGATGTCCCAGCTCAGGTTGGCCAGCACCTGGGACACGTTCCACTCAAAGTGGGTGGGCATAATGACCACAAAGCTCATGTTGTTCTTAAACGGAAAATGAGCCACCTACCAAGGCGGAAAGGAAACCATGTAAGAACAGGAAAGTGCCCAGACCAGCTGGGTCTGGGTCAGTGTTCGCTGACCCAGTGTCAGTGTTCGCTTCAGAGATAGATGGACCAGGGCTTCCGGTCCATTCTTCTCAGGTGTGTGTCTGGGCTCCCCCAGCCTCTACTTCCTTACCGTGAAGTCGAGTCATACTACCTGCCCACATGGCAGGCAGACATGTGACACTCCAGTGGAGTATCAACACATAGGCTCAAAAAAATGGGGACTTCCTCTCCCTTCATCTGCTACCAGCTGGCCCTGTGATTTGGGTCAAGAAATCCCCTCGGTGTCTCAGATTCAGACCACTCCAGGTTCTGCAGGGGAGCCACTGCAAAAGGTGGTTCTCTCCACACCACACCCCTCAGTAGTGACTCTGCCCCACTGTATGTAAGACTGCGCTCTGAGGTAATTTCACATGAATGGGGTTCCTGCAGCTACGTAAGTATGAGAAGCACTGTGCTCCATGATTCCTGACAGCTGCAGATTCTTTGGTCTCTAGACAGAGCAGCCAGGCAGCAGGACCCCTGGGTTGGGGGAGGGGGAAGGGGGAGCCCCACATCTGGCTGCCTGGGTCTGCCTGCAAAGGGTGTGAAGAAGAGGGCTGAGGCCAGGACCCAAGAGACAAAGGGTGAAGAAAGTGTGGGCAGGACACAGTCTGGCAGGAGCTGCCTATCAGGGTGGAAGGGAGAGAAAAGGGATGCTACTCCAAGGGCCTGTGCTGCCCACAGCCCCTCTCAGGAGAGCTACAGAAGGCTGAGGCCTGTGGCATGCTGCCTTGGGAAACTAACCAACATGGCCGCCTCTGCCACAGCTGACTGGCCCAGGGATCTACACTCAAGCTGAGAGGACCACATTGTGGCCAGAAGCAAGGGAGGCCTCCCCTTAGACAAGCCTTGCATAGCGCTCTATCCAGTCAGAATGTTCCAGAAGGATATGGACACATCCATCACAACCAGATCCTCCCTTCTAAGAAGAACTGTGACAGGTCACAGAGCCCAGGCTCAGGCATGCCTTGGCCTGAGTGGCTCTGTAGCCATTGGGTGGCTTCCTCTGCAGCCCCACCAACCCATGGGCCCTGGTAACAAACCCCTATAACCAAAGATCACCTGGTTCTCCACTGGGGCCCCTCCTCAAAGAACACTCCCTGACCGCTGGATCTAAAATACCTTCCCTAGTCACTAATTGATCACTTTCTTTTTTCCCCCATAGCACATACCCTATCTGAAATGATCCTGTGATTTAGGTTCATTTGTGTACTTTCCTTTCCTGCTGACAGCAGGGACCTGGTCTCCCACGTGCTAGTGAGTTCCCATGTCTAGGACAGTATCTGGCAGACAGCAAATGCCCAATATCGTTTTGTGAGCTTCATGAACTTCCAAGAGCCTGGAAGCTCAGTCCCACAGGTCGGGGTATAGCGAGACCTTCCAGAGCCACCTGTATCAGGAACATGACTGCAAGGAAGGCAGGGCACACCCCCCTTCACCCCTGTGCCTGCCCACAGCCCACCCCCTCCCTACACCACCTCCCAGCCTGGACAATCAGGGCTGACCTGTATCTCGGGCTGCTCCAGCAGGAACCAACGCAGGGGGTACGTGTGGGCGTGCATCATGTCCACGGGCACGGTGAACTGCTCGTTCAGGTGGAAACTGTCTCTCTGGGTGAGACTTGGATCAAACTTGCTCCTCCAGAAACCTAGAGCCAGCAGAAGGCAGGGGCCATGTAGACCCAGGCAGAGGGAGGTTCTCTACCACCTGTCTCTTCTCTGTCCCACCCAGAACCCATTCAAGGGACAAAAGGTAGAGGTCGAAACCCCAAGGGGCACTGTGCCAGGTGACACTCAGTTGATCTGAGGTTTCTTCCCTGCAGCATTTTTGAAATCTGGGCTTGCTTTTTTCCTGTGCCCCGCCATGCTCCCAGGAGCACCCCCCATCTCTCCACCAACTCAGTTTCCTCCTAGGGTTCTCTCTTTACAACAGCCTCATCCAATTCCTGGGGCCCCTCCTCGGCACACTGTTACCCATTTCCTACCCTCCCCCAAGCCACAACCTGAAGAGCTCCCTGCCTCGTGGCCCATCCCTGAGGAGAAAGAGAGACTCTCAGAACAAAGGTTTCTTCACAGCCCAGCTCAGCCTATGGGGCAGGAATAGGGGCAGCCTATGGGGCAGGTGGGGAACCTGGGGAGAAGAGGAACGCACTCTGGAAGTGGATGGCATTGAGCAGAAGCAACACTGTGTCATCTGGCAGCTCAGAGAGGAAATCCTCAATCTTCCCTTCTGTAGCCTCCTTCACCCATTGGTTGATGTTCAGCAGATCATCCCCCTTCCTACCCGTCAGGCTCACGGGCTTTGCACCAAAGAGCTGTTCTGATTGTTCCAGAAAATCCTCTTTGATGGGAAATCCTATGCAGAAAGGGCCACAAATTGTTCCCAGGGGCTTGAGCTCCAGAGCCACCAATCCTCAGACTGGCGACCTGAGGCCAACCCCATCCCCATCACCCCTGTCCACCCAAGAGCACTACCTAGGGAGCTCCAAGCACCAACACCTACCTTTCTGCAGGTACATTCTGGCAGCCAATCGGAATGCCCCAGGGCCCAGGTCCTGGCAAAGGTGGCTCAGTAGGTGAGGGAGGCAGGGCCCTGAGTCCACATGTAGCACCTGCTCTAACCTCCGCAGTGTCTGGTTCTGAGCACCTGGAGGGGACCGCATTGGCTGTGGCCCAGGCCGCCGGCTCTTTCCCGGCCCTGCCATGCACTCCAGTCCCTGTTGAATGCCCGTGGTGCACAGGCATTCGCCTCTCGCATCCACTGAACCCCGCCCCCCAAGTTCCACCTTCATCTCTGCTGCTGGCTATCTTGGATGACCTCACCCCGTCCAAGTTGTTTTCCCTCCCTGGACCTTGGTTTCCCACAGTGAGAGCCTCCAGTCCGGCGAAGACAGTGCAGCTACATAAAAATCATCAGAAGCTTATCCTTAGGTCCCATACCCGGGGATCTGACTCGAGGAATCTGGAGGTATGCCCGGGAATCTGCCTTTTTACCAAACAGCCAAGTGCCCCCAATGAAGGAAGCACCCGCTAGTAAACTGTGGAGTAGTGAGTTCCTACTGGCCTCCCAGCTCTGCTGGTCTAGACAAACGGATGCCACGGTACCTAGTGCCAGATGAGACAGGGCCAGGGCCACACTCAGAGGCGACAGGATGAGGTTGGGGCTGGTGGACCTTTGGGCGACCAGGGAGAACAGGTCTGTGGTGAAGGCCATCATGGCCTGGGCCAACCTGCGTGTCTGCTCCGGAGTTGAGGCCCCCTTGCAGTCCCTTGGGGATTTCTTCAGGGCAGTATGGCCATGGGCCTCCTACAGGGACAGATCAGGGGTCAAGAGGGTTAAGGAGTCAGCTCTGTGTTGAGGATCCCTTTCGGAGTCCCTGTGCCTGAGAACAGCAGGGCCTTATCTCAGTCCTGACGAGAGAGGGACGAGAGACGGTCACAAAGACAAAGGCCTGATAGGGACCGGGTCCTTCGCTCTGGTCCCTCCCACCCTCGGTCTTCTGGCCTCCGCCTCATGGCCCCGCCCCCCGGTTCCCTCGCCCCTGCTGATTGGCCCTCCTCCCTCGGACCCCGCCCACCCTTCCCCCAGCCCCACCTGGTTGTACCTGGTTGCCCAATTTGAGGAGGGTAAGCGGGGGCAGCTTTTCCTGGGTCTGCCCGCTCATTAGCTGAAGAAGGGAGGAAGCAAATGGAGCGTGACCCTTCCCACTGGTTCCCCCACCGTTGCGGGAGCCACAGGGAAGGCCCCTCGGGGCCTTCCTTCCCCTCATGCCTCTCCCTCACCAGTACCTGCTGGTCCAAGGGCTCCATGGCGCTGGCAGGAGAGAACTGTTGAGAAAAGGATGAAGAGAGGAGAGGGAACCCCCTTAGAGCCAAACCTTCCCCTGACTCAGCCCCCTCCTTTTCCTGCCCGGACCCCTGGCGCGTCCCCACCTGCCTCCCGGCCCCACCCAGACCCAGGCCCAGGCTCACCACCAAGCTGGAACCCTGCAGGCAGGACAAGCTGAGCACCAGGAGCCCCCAGAGCAGCGCCATGTTCCTGTGCGGGACAGGAAGCCACTGTTCCCACCTGGCGGCACTTCTGCGTGGGATCGCACTCCCCACGCTGCCTGGCTTGGCAGATCCTGAGCCTCTACCGCTGAGGGGACACCCAGCTACTGCCAGCACACCCCCAAACACCAGTGGTGGTTCCCATCTCTGTGGCATGGGATGGCCCCCTGAATTGCTTTTAACCCCTCTGTATTTTCCAGTTTTTCACATTTTGGGCACTGAAAATGGTTTGGTTCATAGGGGAAATATCAAAACAAAAGAAATCCTCATGCTTCAAGTCCTGGCCTTTTGAGTCCCACCTGGATTGGAATCCAGACTCTGCCTCTTCCCGGAGGACCTTAGATATTTCCCTTAACTCCTCTGGACTCTGCCTTTTCTTGTAAAATGGTAGCAAAAGTCCCTACCTCCTCCCATGGTATGTTGTGAGGACCAGAATAAGACAGTCTTTGTGAGCCTTGATTACAATGCCTGGCACTCAGTAATAGGGCTGTTGTCCGCCTAGCCCCCCTCCTCTGGGAAGCCTCCCCCGAAGCCTCCTGTATACTGGGGCTCCTATCCAACCTGCTGTCCACAGGGCCCACCTTTTCTCGCTGGTCTGGTCTTGACCACAAGGGTGGACAGGCCTGAGTCCCTGAAGTCTCAGCAGGGTTGGTGGGGTAGGCTGGAGAGCCGCATTGTTGACCCAGCCAGAGAGCCCAATGAATGGCTCTGGACAAAGCCACCTTTGGACTTACGGGAAACACAGGCCTTGGCCCCCAACTCTGTCCAGGTCGGCTCCGGGAAGCCAGGCTGGCAGGTGGAGATGGGCAGGTCTTGGTGGGGCCTCAGAGCAGGTCCCACACACTCCAACCCCGCCCCCATCTCAGGGCCAGTCCTTCCAAGGGATCCTTCTATCACCCCTGGCCCCACCCCCATCACAGGGCCCCTGACCTCCAACCTGGGCTTTTGAATTTTTTTGTCAAGAAAAGCCCTCCAGTTTTTCAAGTCCCAGGGGGAGTCCTGCCAGAACTCCCACCTTGGCTCCTCATCCCCCCCAGGAGGCTGGGAAATGAGAGGCCTTCTGAATCAATTCACTCCAGGCCCCCTCAGCTAGGACAGCAGCTCTTACCTCCTCTCCTGCCCAAAGAGCAGGCTAAGCCACCCCTCCCCTTGTACCTCCGCGGGCTCCTTGCTGCTGCACACGATGTCCTTCTCTCTGGCCCCACTTGGGTACTCCCCACACTTTGCTCAGGCTCCAGCCAGCCTAGCTGAGCCCTCCCCTCCCACCAGGACCTTTGCTCTCAGCCAACCCCTGTTCAGATTGCTTTCTCTTCTGGTAAATATTGACCTGCACATCCGGTTAAACATTGATATTGGGGCCGGAAGCCCCATTCCCACCAAGGCATCTAATCCTGAGACAGCCACCTGGAGGCCCTGTGGATTTGGGTCCCCCTTCTTTCCCCACAAGCCTGGAGAAAGGAGGTTCAGGAAAGTTGAGGAGAATGTTCTCATCTGTAGAGCAGATCCAGGAAGGACAGGGGCCTCCCAGCAACCCCACTCTAGTTGGTCAGAGAGGCTATGTGACATGCCCAAGGACAGAGTTGGGCTCAGGGTCACATCCAGCTTCCCACTTCCAATGTCCTTTCCTCTCCCCCATCCTGAGGGGAAGGAAAGGGAGGCCGCAGGAGCCTATGTGGAGAACCCAAGATAGGATGCCCATCCCCAAGCCTTACAAGCCCAGGATCCTGATTGGCTGCCTTTAGACTAGATCTGGAAGGGGTGGGGAGAGGAGAGAGAGCCCCAGCCCCAGCTAGCATCCTCCCAGCAGGATGGCTGCCTCCTTACCCTCACCCAAGGCTGAGGGTTCAAGAAACTGGCCTGGGGCTGCATGCACCAGAAGGCCTGTCCCCTGGGGCACCCAAGGGCAATGATCAGGCTGTCCCCCACCTTCCTGCCCAGCTTCTCGCCCTCTCCTCATGGCCCCGGAAGCTGCCCACTCCTAATTCTTCCCCACCCTGATACCACCATCAAGAAAAGTGTCCCTCAGTTCCATGGCTCTTCCAAAGGATTTATTGGTCATATTTACATCTATTGCAAATAATGAGAAGGCAGTAGGGGCACAGGCTCAGACCTCATCTCTGCTCCCGAATATGAGGGTCCCAGGATGGCTGGGTCTTCCCGTCTCCTGGGAGAGACCTGAGATGCAGAGATCATTCTTGCCCCTTCTCTCAGGGTGTTGGACCATGAAGGTTCTGGGCCCAGGGGCTGCCTCCTCAGTTTCAAGGCACAAACACTGTGGTGAGGGGTGGGCAGGCAAGGCAGGCGGTCACTCCTGGCCAGGCACCGGCTGGCCCAGTCCCTCTTCCCTCCCCTGGTCCTGCCCTCTTTCTTCCCCTACTAGTCCCACACTGGGCAGGGCCCGGCTGGGTGGACACTTAAACCCCAGCCCAAGGCCCTTAACTCCTGGACCACGGCCAGCCCTCATTAGAGGCTGGAGTCCAAGCACCATCAGTGTCCTGGACTGGAGCAGCTGTCCTGTCCTTGTGAGACTGGGGTACAGAGAGCTCAGCAGGGTGCGGGGGCATCTTCGGCTGGAGACTGGCTGGGCCGGGGCCCATCTCCGTTCCTCTTCTCAGAGCTTCCCTGTCCCCATGTAAGACCCAGAGGGCAGAGCCAGGGAGAAGGGAGGGCAATGCTTCCCATGCTCTCTCTCTCTCTCTTGCTTCCTGCTGACTAGGGGCAGCAGCTCCCCCAAGCCGTGAAGGAGATCCTTTCTGGCAGCACTGGTGGCTCTGGCAGTTTGGGACCCTGGACTCCTGCCTCCCCCTAGCTTGCAGGCCACATGGCCACTCGGAGTGTGGGGCCTGATGCTTGCACAGAGGGAGCTGCTGGGAAAACACGGGTGAGAGAGGGACTCCTGGGGGGGATGTCTGCCCACCCTCATGGGCCGGCCCTGCCTCAGCCTACGCCAGGAGGCGGATGACCCCATTGTCCGAGCCTAGCAAAAGGTGGCGTTTGGTGGACAGCAAGGCCAGGCTGGTGAGCGTGCCTCGGAAGTTCTCAGAGCTAAGCTTGGTGGTGGCCTGGGAGGGGGGCTCGAGTAGGGAGCAGACGCCGATCTTGTTGGCCACTGTGCCGGTGACCACCTCGCTGCCATACAGGTCGAAGGTGTGGATGGGGTCAGAGGCAGACTTGTAGTGGTGCGTGGGCTTCTGTTCCAGCTCCTTCCACACGGTCAAGGAGTGGTCAGAGGAGGAGCTGACCAGGACACTGCCCTCCACCGCCTGCTTGGGGAGAAGAGAGCCTGAGCCAGCTGGACCCGGGCCCTCCCATGTGCCCAACGAGCTCCAGGGTCTTCTGTTTACTCGCAGGGGATCTCCCAGGAAGACAGAGGGGTCCTGGGCAGGAGACCAACTGCCTCCTCGACCACATCTTATAAGGGCTGGTTGATGTCACTGTGCTCAGGTGTCTTGAACCTAGTCACCACTGTAACTTGGCGCTCACTCTAGGCATTGTGTGTGGCGTGCCATATTACCAAATTTAATTTTCAGGACAACTCAATGACATAAATGCTCTTGTTATTCCCATTTTACAGAGAAAGAACCCGAGGCTCAGAGAAGTTAAGTAATCCTCCCAAGGTCAGAGAGCCAGTAAGTAGCACTGCCAGGATTAACACCAAGGCTGACCCCAAAGCCCTCTGAATGCATCCCTGGAAGGTCCAAACCGAAAGCTACCTGGACCCCTGGGCCCCCTGGGGTCCTGGACACAGCTGGAGCCAGTGTGTCCTTAGTAGTGGCAATGCAGGTCCCCCGGCTGCAGTCAGCACAGGGAGGAAGTGCCAGCTGCCTGGAAATATCCTCCCACAAAGAACCCTGTTCCTCCCCTGCTGTCCCTCCCCGGGCAGTTCCCTGAAGTCTGTGCCTGAGAATGGGTGGGGGTAGGGGTAGGATCCCCAGGCGGGGACGTCCCTGCCCCCATGAGGGCAGCCCAGCATGGGACATGGACTCTGTTCCGTGGTCTGGGGGCAGTAAACAGCCTCCCAGCTGAGCTTTATTTAACCTGAACTGGGTCACGGACAGGGCCTGACCCCTGATCCTCCAAGCAAGGCAAATATGGACAAGGGTTACTCATTAGAACATCCCCAGGGAGCAGCAGGGTCAGCTCACCCCCTGCTTCCCACCCCCAGGCCTGCCTCTGGCTCCTAACCCTGTGTGCCCATCAGCCCTGGGGCAGGTAAAAGGGAGATTACCTTAGCTGGAGCCTGTCCTGAGTGGGCCCTAAGAGGACCTGGAGCAGGGGCAGGGCTGGGCAGTGAGGAGAGGAAAGGGACCTGGTCAGTCACCTTGATCTGCAGGATGTCCCCTTCATGGGCCGGCCAGCCACGTAGAACCAGGCCAGTTCGGGTGTCCAGGAGCACCATGAAGCCCGAGGAGAAGCCAGCCACCACGCTACGGCCACTGGGGCTGACGGCCAAGGAGCGGACGAGGCCGGGGTTCAGCCCACCGCCGAGGCGGAACTCGTGCTGCAGACAGAGGGAGATGAGCTAAAGTGCCACCCCAACCCATTTCTCCCTGAGGTCCTGCTCCCTCCCAAGCCCACACAGTTGAAAGGCCTGATCCTTTATCCCCGCCCCCTCTATCAAGCAGAGGGCCCCCCCTCCATCTCAGGTCAGTCCCACCCCCCACTCAGGGTTTGCTGCTGTGGGTCATTGGTCTAAACGACACTCTGGCCTTCTCTCTTTGGGTTCTCTCCTCCCTGCCGGGCATCCAGGCCCGGGCTCAGGGAACTGGACGGCCCTGACCTGCAGGCCAGGCTTCCTGCAGTCCACGAAGCGCAGGGTGGAGTCAGAGCTGGCCATGGTGATGCTGGTATGGGGGGCAGGCATGACGGCCACAGCAGTCAGGGGCACGCGGCTGTCCCATGGCTCCATCATGCGGAGGGTCTTCCCTGGGAAGGAAAGGCACCATGGATCTGGGGTACCAGGAGCTGACAGAAGCACCTCAACTCTTCCTATCTCCCTGACCTACCCTGGATCTGCTTCTCATATTCTAGAGGACCTCAGAAAATGCTGAATATGCTTTTTGACTCTCCCACCTTCCTGCTTCTGTGGCCAGGCCAGGCTCCAGTCCCCGGAGCAACCTCTTCTTTTCCCACGGCACCCCCTGATCAAACACTACTTCTCCTCAGTCTACCTCAACACTACCCAATCCCCTCCCCCTTTAAAAACCTTATTAACCTTACTTCTCCTCCCCCATGATGCCAAAATACAATCAAGCAACCATCTGCCAAACTTTTATGACATGCTACATGTTAAGCCAAACTCCTATGTGCATCATCTTCTAACCCCGTTCTGATTCCCATTTTACAGATCAACAAGGTGACTTGCACAAGGTCACCCAGCAAATAAAGTTGGCAGAACCAATTCAAACTCAGGTCCAACTGCTCCTCTGGGCGGCCTCACTGGGTCACCCCACCCCCTATACCATTACACCCCAACCACCCAACCTGGGTCCTCAAACCCAGAGGCCTGGCCGCGCCCAGTATGGCAGCAAGAGAACAGGCCTCACCTGGACCTGCTCACCTGTGAAGGGGTCCCAGACGTGCACGGCCCCGTCGCAGCTCACCACGTACTGCGGGGCCTCGAGCTGGCCCACGAAGAAGACGCTCTTGCGGTGCTGGGTGTAGATGAGGCGCGGAGCCGTCTCACTGGTGCCATCCCCTGAGTTGTAGAGCGGCCAGAGGCGCACCGTGCGGTCCTTACTGCCACTCAGGAAGAAGTCCTCACTGCTCAGGGGTGCCACACACTTGACGGCCCCAGAGTGGCCCGGGAAGCTCTGCAGGCGGATCTGGTGGAAGTGAAAGTGGGCGTCCTGCTGGCTCACGCCGATCTCGTACTGCCAGTACGCGAGCCAATTCCCGCTCAGCCCGTGGGCGCTCCGGGGCAGCTCCCGCTTCAGCGCGTTGTCCTCCTCACTGCTGACGCCCCCACTGCCCGCCCCCGGGACGGGGCCCAGCAAGCTGGGGCTCTCAGGCTGTGGGTCGTCAGGAATCTGGATGCGGTTCCCGACCAGAACGCTCCCAAAGGTCCCTGAGTGGCTGTCATCCCGTGGGCCACCCCCACTCTGGGGGTCCCACTCGGGGCCCGTGTTGGGCATGGTGGGTTCCACGCTGGCCAGGCTATGACTGCTTGGGCTGATGCTCTCCAGATACAGCCCCGCCAGTTCCCCAACCAGCTCATGGTTGGGGACGATCTTCCTGATGATGTCACCTAGATGGGAGGGTGGGAGTAATCCTAAGATCAGGGAAGATGGCAGGCAGCTGCCACCACCCCGCCAAAGCTTGGGAACAGAAGACAGGGCAGGTGCTGGCTATGAAACTCTAGGCAAGTAACTCTTCATCCCTGAGCCTGTTTCTTCCCTAGGAAGACGTGGATTCGCTCACATGCACATCCTCTGTATGTGCTGGGCACCATGTGACACATGGGAAACAGAACGGTGAGAAAATGGCCATTGCTCCCCCTCTCAGGACCCAGATTTCAGTGGAGGAACAATAACGTATCTGACCACAGGGCCGTTCTTCCCATTCAGGGAGACAACATACATAACCACGCAGCAGTGCCAGGCCTGCAAGGTGTAGTCTGAGGCTACACAGACGGTGGGCTACTTATTCCTCCCAGAAACTCCTAGAGATGTCCGTACATCGGCCCAAGGCCCCTGCCTTCCCCAGGGATACTCTAGACCAGCTCCCATGCCTCCCTGCTGGCTAATGCTCACTCTCTGTTTACGTGTCACCTTGGGACGGTGAGGTCTGACGCACAACACTGTGCTGAAGACCAGCTACAGGATCTGGGGGGGCAAGGGGAGCACCGGAGCCCTCCCAGGGGAAGAGACAGAGCCACAAAGGCTTTGCAAGGGAATGTGATGGGGCAGTACCCAACAGGCAGGAGAAGGGCACGTAGATTGTGTACGCCATCTC